TGCGTGCTCACGAAAAGTTCGGTTAAAAGTGCAATTTCTCATTGCACCGATGGCCAACGAGGGGAAGGGAGGTTGCGTTGGAATCGTGTGACCAAGAGGAACGCCATAGAGTTGAAATTTGCAAGAAAAAAGGTCTCTAAAGAAATTTCACTTTTTTCACCAAATAGGCTTGTGGGCTCACGAAAATTTCGGTTTAAAGTGCAATTTCTCATTGCACCGATGGCCAACGAGATGAAGTGAGGTTGAGTTGGAATCGTGTGACCGAGAGGAACGCCATAGAGTTGGAATTTGCAAGAAAAAAGGTCTCTAAAGAAATTTCATTTTTTTCACCAAATAGGCTTGTGGGCTAACGAAAAGTTCGGTTAAAAGTGCAATTTCTCATTGCACCGATGGCCAATGAGGGGAAGGGAGGTTGCGTTGGAATCGTATGACCGAGAAGAACGCCATATAGTTGGAATTTGCAAGAAAAAAGGTCTCTAAAGAAATTTCATTTTTTCACCAAATAGGCTTGTGGGCTAACGAAAAGTTCGGTTTAAAGTGCAATTTCTCATTGCACCGATGGCCAATGAGGGGAAGGGAGGTTGCGTTGGAATCGTGTGACCGAGAGGAACACCATGGAGTAGAAATTTTCAAGAAAAAAATGTCTCGAAAGAAATTTCATTTTTAAACCAAATAGGCTTGCGGGCTCACGAAAAGTTCGGTTAAAAGTTCAATTTCTCACAGCACCGATGGCCAATGAGGGGAAGGGAGGTTGCGTTGGAATCGTGTGACCGAGAGGAACGCCATAGACTTGGAATTTGCAATAAAAAAGCTCTCTAAAGAAATTTCATTTTTCACCAAATAGGCTTGTGGGCTCACGAAAAGTTCGGTTTAAAGTGCAATTTCTCATTGCACCGATGGCCAACGAGGGGAAGGGAGGTTGCGTTGGAATCGTGTGCCCGAGAGGAACGCCATAGGGTTGGAATTTGCAAGAAAAAAGGTTTCTAAAGAAATTTCATTTTTTCACCAAATAGGCTTGTGGACTCACGAAAAGTTCGGTTTAAAGTGCAATTTCTCATTGCACCGATGGCCAATGAGGGGAAGGGAGGTTGCGTTGGAATCGTGTGACCGAGAGGAACGCCATGGAGTAGGAATTTTCAAGAAAAAAGGTCTCTAAAGAAATTTCACTTTTTTCACCAAATAGGCTTGTGGGCTCACGAAAGTTCGGTTAAAGTGTAATTTCTCATTGCACCGATGGCCAATGAGGGGAAGGGAGGTTGCGTTGGAATCGTGTGACCGAGAGGAACGCCATAGAGTTGGAATTGGCAAGAAAAAAGGTTTCTAAAGAAATTTCATTTTTTCACCAAATAGGCTTGTGGGCTAACGAAAAGTTCGGTTAAAAGTGCAATTTCTCATTGCACCGATGGCCATGAGGGGAAGGGAGTTGCGTTGGAATCGTGTGACCGAGAGGAACGCCATAGACTTGGAATTTGCAAGAAAAAAGGTCTCTAAAGATTTTCATTTATTTCACCAAATAGGCTTGTGGGCTAATGAAAAGTTCGGTTTAAAGTGCAATTTCTCATTGCACCGATGGCCAATGAGGGGAAGGGAGATTGCGTTGGAATCGTGTGACCGAGAGGAACGCCATAGAGTTGGAATTGCAAGAAAAAAAGGTCTCTAAAGAGAAATTTCATTTTTTCACCAAATAGGCTTGTGGGCTAACGAAAAGTTCGGTTAAAAAGTGCAATTCTCATTGCACCGATGGCCAATGAGGGGAAGGGAGGTTGCGTTGGAAATCGTGTGACCGAGAGGAACGCCATAGAGTTGGAATTGGCAAGAAAAAAGGTCTCTAAAAGAAATTTCATTTTTCACCAAATAGGCTTGTTGGGCTAACGAAAAGTTCGGTTAAAATTGAATTTCTCATTGCACCGATGCCAATGAGGGGAAGGGAGGTTGCGTTGGAATCGTGTGACCGAGAGGAACGCCATAGACTTGGAATTTGCAATAAAAAAGGTCTCTAAGAATTTCATTTTTCACCAAATAGGCTTGTGGACTCACGAAAAGTTCGGTTAAAAGTGTAATTTCTCATTGCACCGATGGCCAATGAGGGGAAGGGAGGTTGCGTTGGAATCGTGTGACCGAGAGGAACGCCATAGAGTTGGAATTTGCAAGAAAAAAGGTCTCTAAAGAAATTTCATTTTTTCACCAAATAGGCTTGTGGACTCACGAAAAGTTCGGTTAAAAGTGCAATTTCTCATTGCACCGATGGCCAATGAGGGGAAGGGAGGTTGCGTTGGAATCGTAGTGACCGAGAGGAACGCCATAAGACTTGGAATTTGCAATAAAAAGGTCTCTAAAAAGAATTTCATTTTTCACCAAATAGGCTTGTGGACTCACGACTAGAATTTAGCTATATGAAGAAACAACGCCAATAAATATTGGTCAACTCGAATGAATCATGTCTGAATCGTGTCGAATCTCCATCCGTACTAGCACATATCAATTGCTTAACAACAAAAACTCTGGTTTTTTTTATAAAGTTTCTAAATTCCCAATTGCTTTCTCAATCAATGTTGAAACAGGAGCATCCTGATTTGAGCAAGGCAGATAGGAAGAGGCTCTGCAGGACGTTAGACTGCCAGAAACTGTCACCGGAAGTTCGAGCCCACGCTGTCAAGAACGAGAGGCTGCCACTAAGAACCGTCGTTCAAGTTCTCTTCTTTGAGCAGGATATCAAAGGTGGTGGCGGTGGTTCGAACAACAGAATGTTGTCTCAGGAACTGTCCTTCAAAGGAAAGCAGCCGGCACCATCAGCAGTGGCTGCTGCTGCTGAAGATGTGAGTAGTAAGCTACATTTGAAGAGTACAACATCAGAGAGCAGCAGCACAAGGAGCAATAAGCATGAGAGGGTGAAAAGACTAGGCAGTAGAAAGGGGAAGGTGGAAGATGAAAGGAATAATAATATCGTGGTGAGAGGAGAAATAGAAGAAGAAGAAGAAGAAGAAGAAGAGGTTGAGACGGAGAAAGAAGGAAGCAAGTTGGATAGGAAGAAGATGATGGGGAGCAGAAGTGGATCATCAGACCATGGAAGGGATAAAGGTAGGGATAGATAGGCGAGGCTGCAGAAGAGTAGTTGTTCATTATGAGAGCCAAACCAATTTCATAGTTGGTAGTTTCTGTTCTTTTGTTTGTGTAAAAAGTGAAAGAGAAAAAGAAAAGCAGAACAAGAGAGTTGTTTATGGTGGGCAGTAAAAAATTAAAAAATTGTAGAGTTCCTTTTTATATGAGAGACCTTGTGATCGAATTGATCAATAATGTTCAAACTAGTTCTTTTTCATTGAGACTGTAACTGTAGAAATGCCATGCTAAAATAGTCACAAAATCATCTCTGTTTAATCACTTAGTACACAATCTAACCCATACGATTAACCATACGATGAACTCAATCGATGACAGAGCAGAGCAGGGCAGCAGGCAGCAGCAGTGGTTTCAGAATGTTGAGGATAAGAAAGGAAGTTGGTTACCCTCCTCGTAAAATCATTTGGGCGTTTTGATTCGTTGGTATGTACTATGTAGTAGTCAGGCTTAGCTTGGTGAATCAAATGGGCAACTTGATCTCTAAGCCCGGGAGAACAATGGGCCTAGTGGGCTTTTAATGGATTATCCTTTTCCTTGTCATAGATGGGTAGGGTTTGCTTTGCATTGCATATGCAGCAGGTGACACGTACGACTGTCGCCCCAAAAATAACCCTCGGGAAAGAGAGGAAAAACGATGGAAGAATCTGCTACACCTCCACTTCACCCAAAAATCAAAAGACGGAATCAGGTCGAGTTGATGAGCAGCAACAGCAGCAAAAGCATGAACCAAAAATTTGCCACAAGGCTCCCTCAATCGAGATTAGGGCATTATTGAAAAGCTTCGTCGCCCAAAGACCTAACTCAAATTATAATGACTACGTTCCCTTGCATTTAGAGACCAATTATCCTCTCTCAAAGCTTATGGTAGCTAGGCCTAAGAAATTCCTGTTTAAATCAGGAGAGTTTTTAAGTAAATAAGATTCTTGGTTGATAGCCCTAGCTAGCTAGAATAATTCTCATGTGGGTCTAAGAGTAGGGAGCTTTCACCCAACCCTTTCCTTGTCGAGGCAAGATGTTGGAGACTCCATGATGTGTGCAACAACTCTTCTGAGTCCAAGCTTGAGTCGGAATAAGTCATTCGTAGTAAGTTATGTGAATCTTGTACTATGTGTAAGTATCAAAATTTCTTTTAAATACAAGCATTTGAGAATTTTATATATTAATTGGTGTGAATTGTAAAGTTCAAAATATCACATATCATAATCGATTTCTAAAGATTTTACAACTAATAGTAATCTCCTAGGTTCAATTCTCCCAGTCTACCAAAAATGATTTGATAACGGAAGAACTTGGTATTGTCTACAAGATTTTGAACAATAACTAGTTGTTAAAATTAGTTCAACTTTGAGCTCTAACTCCTAATTACTCTTTTTTTATATATATAAAATGCTCATAGAATCTTTACTAATACAATTATGTTGAGTATTTCTTAAAGTCAGTCGAACCATATCGTATTAGTTTACAATATGCATTTATTCATGTGTTTAGTTGTGAGCATACGATATATAATTTTCTCATACTTTTTGTATCAATATATTACGATCATATCACCATTATAACATTTGATCTTTATTATTAATTAATAACTCCTATAATCACCTAATTGCGATCTTAGTCTTTTACTAATTATTCTCTTTTCCATTCCTAATACAAATACTTTTCAACAACTAAAGAAATATACAATTCCTATATGAACAAACCAAACCTATTTCAAAGATAAAATAATTGGACAGAAGACCAAATGTGTCAAAGAAAAACCATCAGTTAAAAGAGAATCTTTCGGTAGCCGCTGAACCGTTAATAGGCCTTTCTGCTTCTTCTATCAAATCTGCAGCTTTGTTTACTGTTCTGTGCATTGTGGTTACCCTTTACCTTCTTTTCCCCTTTATTCTAATTGCAATAAAATAATATCAGTCCCAATCATTCACTTGCTCATACATCAGTGGAGGAATAACACAACTTACAAATATGTTTTCTTTTTCCCCTTTTCCCTTATTTTATTTTATCTCTTCCACTTGACGTACATCTCCCCCAAGGCTTCTTCTCTTCCCCTCTCGATCCATTGAGACACCGATAAACCGCAGATGTCTCCGAATCTCAACTCTTCCTCTGCCCTTATCTCTGCTTCTGCTCAAAGGTGAGCCCTTTTCACTCTCTTCTATTCGGTGTTGCGCCGTTTCTCTTAGATAGGTGCTCTCGATAGCCTCTGATCCCTTGTGGGTTTTTGTATATTGGCGGGTTGTGTTCCTCTGGATCGGAAAGATTGTGTCTTTTCTCGCGGTGAATGATCGTAGGCTACTTTGTGAGGTTTTAGTTGAATTGGAGAATTGTTCATCTCGAATGGTGTTTCTTTTTGTTTTGAGCTGAGATTCGATCCATCTAGTACTGATATTACCAATTGTATGTTTGTTTCGCTCAATTATGCATGAATGATATCTGTGGAACTCAACAATGGTGATAGGTATGGATTGTGCTGATATCTGGGGACAAACATGGAGCAGTTCCTAGACGGATTGAAGCATTTGTGTGCGGCAGTTGCGAATTGTTGTGATGCTGATTTGTATAAGCAACTCAGAGGGCTGCAAGATCCAGAGGCTCTTGCAAGAGAAACAGTTTGTATGTCTATCTAACTGACTACCCTTTTTCATGTCTCCTTCCCTTTGTAAAGTTATCAATTTTACGGGCAGAGAGGCAAGGTAGAATTTCTGGTCGTGTGTGCAAATTGTAGCTAGTAAATGTTGTTGCTCACTGTGAGTAAATTCTGGGCCATTGAAGGACATGGTGTGTTTTCGGTGAATGCAGTTAGCGTTAGCGAAATAGAAGCACTTTATGAGCTCTTTAAGAAGATCAGTAGTGCGGTGATAGATGATGGTTTGATCAACAAGGTAAGAAAAATCATTCAGAATGAGGACTGTAGTGGTTAGGCTTATACATTTGCTTCTCTTTGAATACAGCAATCGCTCAGTATTATGAACATTTTTGTTGCAGGAAGAATTTCAGTTGGCCTTATTTAAAACGAATAAGAAAGAGAGCTTATTTGCTGACCGGGTATTCTTCTTTTTATATAACCTACAGACTGCCACTTTTTTTTTTTTTTACCACTTCTGATGTCTTTTCCTTTTTTTTATGTGATGCTGAGTTTTTCTCACCAGAGTCTAACTATTTGATCCTATCTGAATCTTTTGAAGGTATTTGATTTGTTTGACTCGAAGCATAATGGTGTGCTTGGTTTTGAAGAGTTTGCGCATGCCTTGTCAGTCTTTCACCCCAATGCACCTATTGATGATAAGATCGAATGTAAGTGGCTAGATTCCTGCTTCATATAAGCCACATGTTTTTTTTTTCTTTCTCTCACGCCCATTTTGTGCCTACAGACCACCTGTAAGGTTATGGTTCTTTGATCTGTCGAATTCTCCAAAACAAAAATTGTCTCATTATAATACTTAGATGTATCTGAAGTTGCCAAAGTTGTTATCCTCTGCAGTTTCATTCCAATTGTACGATCTCAAACAGCAAGGCTTCATTGAGAGGCAGGAGGTATGAAATGCTAACACTCATTCCATCTTTTGGCTAGAAGAAGACTCATAATGAAATGTTCAAGATACGGCAAAATGTGATCTGATGCAGTTCCGTAGGATTGATTTAACTTCTCTTCATTATCCAAAATTTTCATGGTGCATCGCTAGAAAAAACTGAATGTCGTCTAGACCCATGTGTATCAAGAATCAAGATTATGACACTTAAAAATTCCTTCATTTTATGCCATTTTTCGTGTTAATGGATCGAAAGTTTCTCACTTCCTTCATTACAAGATCAATGCCTTAGAAATCCCTTTGATGATTGTCAGGATTAATCTGTGCAGGTGAAGCAAATGGTAGTGGCCACACTTGCTGAGTCCGGTATGAATTTGTCTGATGATGTGATTGAAAGCATCATTGACAAGGTACTATTATCGCATCTAATTAATCTATTTAAATGCTGCTAAATTGTTCGCATGTGTTGTCAAGATGTCATGTTTCTTATATTGCATATCTGAAACTCGGGATCCAGTATGGTTGCTGATGCATGTTTTGTATTTAGACGTTTGAGGAGGCCGATACCAAGCATGATGGTAAGATTGACAAGGAAGAATGGAGAAGCCTTGTCTTGCGGCATCCTTCACTTTTGAAGAACATGACCCTTCAGTATCTCAAGTGAGCTTTAACTTTTCAAATTTCCAGCTTTTTGTGTATTCGCGACTGGTCGACTAACCTCATATTGTTCTTCTCTAATAGGGACATCACGACAACATTTCCAAGTTTTGTGTTTCACTCACAAGTCGATGATACATGATCTTCAAGTTTCATTTTGAAGGAGAAGAGAAAAGTAGGAACCGCGAGATTTTTCGTTCTGGTTTCTTCTTTTGTGCAGAGTTTCGCCATAGGAAGAAGCAAAATTTCATTCGTACCGAGGGCTTGGATTGGAAGCTTTTTGTGCTCTGATGAACAAATGAGATGCAGTTCTTTCTTTCTTTGTTTTTTGGTTCATTGTGTAATGCTGTGTAAGGACCAAGGTATAGAAAGTTAGAAAGCTTTGCAGTTGCCTGGGATTTTTTGTTGTTGTTACTATGTGAAATAGATTGGAACAACTCCACCAGATTTTTGGAGTGATATAGCTTAAATGTTTTCATGCTCATTCAAGAGAAGGTAGATGGTGAAGTATATGATTGACCGGAAGGAGGATGAAAATCCGACCGAAAATGTATTTGATTCGATTTAGTCTGATTGTGACTTGGTCTATTTATCTGTGTAGTTTGCAGAGATCAGATAACCTATAAATCCAGTCAAATCGTACTCAAATGTTGATTCGATTCAGCTGAATTTGTGCTCACCCTAATCCTGCTTGAACTTTGGAACACACTAACACTGCACATGAGAGAGGGAGGGAGAAGATGTATCATGATCTGAAACTTCCCTTTTATTGATTGTACTAGAATTAATACCCGCGGCTACGCCGCAGGAAAAAAATTTGCATTAGCATGATCATATGGCTGACAATTTGATGGCAAATTGAGTTCCTATCAACTGAGTTTGTTGTATTCTTGTCGCTGGGCTGAATTTCAGAAGATTAGAAGTGTAGTTGGCAAACCTTCGCATCTCGAGTTGCATAGTCAATTAGCATGGTGCTCTCAATCATCAAATTATGTTTAAGGTCCAAAATCTTTTCATAACTACACAATACAAAACAATTAGTAAAATCCAAGTATTTTCAACAGTTGCTACAAATGAGAGATATCTCCAAGTATAGGCATATTATAATCCAACCAAAGCTCACATGTCAAACCAATAATTTTTCAAACCAAGAAAAAATTAATTTATAAAAGAATCTGTTCAATCCTCACCCATGTTCATGTGCAACCAAACACCACAAATCTTCTGAAGTCAATCTTGTTCAAGTTATGTGAAACCTTGTTTTCGTATTTATGGTGAAGGAGAAAAGGGTACTTTTATATACATTAACCTCTATTATTATTCATAAAAACAGAGAACGCCATTATCAATCACAATCGAGTCATTTTATAATCTATTATCTACCCACCGACCAGAGAAACAAAAGCAGCATAATGATTCAATAGTAGAGGTGATAGCATCAAATCAAGATGAGCAAACAATGAAAGACCTTGCCTATATTATGTGAATCCAATGAACTATTTGTTCAGTCATGCCACAGTGAGATGGGGAAATTACTCAACAACAGACTACACACAGAACCAAGTATCAATAAGATACAATCTTTGAAATAAGAACAGCAAGTGAAAGAAGCCGTAAGAACACTAAAGCCCCTTTGCTTGTGCACTTCACAAAAGCATAAACCTTAGCCAACTTGTACAAAGCCATTTTGTTCTAGGAATAAAGTAGCTGCATTTTAATAGAAAAGGGTGTTCATCTCTGACACATTCAAACACAGTATCATAATTTCGGGGCACACAACGGAAGGAAGAAGAAGAAAATAAGCGTAGAACTAACTCGTCATTCTCCACCCTGCTTCACCCCCACACCGACCTTCTTCGACGACTCTTCTCCACCGCTGGAATCAGCACAGGCACCTCCACTGCCTTCTCGACCTTCCTCATATGAATTTTGTTTGGTCATTGGATTAAATAAGAAGAAAGAAAATAGAAGAGTAGAAGGAAGAAGAAGCGAACGAAAGTGGTGAACTAACCCGAACAAATCGACATCCGGCTCCGTTTATTCCCAGGCTGACCCTCACATCCCGAACCCAATCGTCGCCTGCCCTCCTTTCCCTCCGCCTCTCCTCGATGCCGACTACATCATTCGGCACTACAGCAGGCTCGTTCGGAGACAATGATTCTCCAATCTGGAAACGAAGTATGAGATGGTAATGCTCTCATTTTCCTCCTCCTAATTGACTCTCGCTCCTCACCCAAAATATAGATTGGAAAATGAATCTCTACTGCAGAAGAGAGATGCGAGAGACGACGTGCTAACATGGGAGGTGGCGTGCGGGAGTAGCTGATAGCATCGGGAAGGAGTCGTGACATGACGGGGAAGGCGGTGTGGGTTATGAGTGGCAGACCGGCGATTCCGGGAAAGCAGCATGGTGAAGCGACGCGGAGACAAAAAGAACACGCTTCGCTGCAGGGTTTGCGGTAGGGGCGAACTGGAACATGCGTACGGAGAGCGTGTGTGCTGATTTAACCGGCCAGCGACGGAATTTGTTTCTGATCCGACCCAATCGAAGGCACTCCGGCCGCCGCTACCACCCACCCTATGGAGAACACAAACCCCCTCTCCGCAAAGCGACAAATAATGAAACAGTATGATAAAGCGTACCCACTTTTTATATTTATATTTTAAAGAATTGACACACTACAGAAAAAGCCTGCACTACAGTTCTGTCAAATGAAACTATGATATTGCAGCAGTCGAGGGAACTCGGTTCCCTCTTTCAAACAGATCGGAAACTTAATTCAACTACACAACATCTGATATCCTAATCCAGGAACTTCGTTGCCCTTATTATGAAAGAACTGCCAACGCCTCAATCTAGCTTAGTTTAGTGCTCATATGTAAGCATTTAACCTCTTTGTTCATAGCAATAGTAGCTGCAACTGCAATCAACAGAATTTGCCAAGTCCTAGTTTCATTCCTGTATGCTGCTCACCCATATAATCTCTTCTTCCTCCACGGACTCTTCACTGTTCTTATGCAACCCCATACTTCTCTCCAGAAACCCTCTCTTCATCAACCTCGCATACTTCGCCCTGACACTAACAAGAGCATGCTTCTCCTGGAGCTCTCCACGATCATATCCTTCTCTAAGGACAACAGTCTGAGTATCACACTTCTTCGATATGTAAAACACACCAGGATGGCGCTCGAACACCTTAGTAAACTTCTGAGGCAAACGCAATGCTGTCCTTAGATTGCTGACATTCTTCCTCTCAGTCTTCTTCTCCAATGTCAGATGAAGCAGCTCATGAAAGACTCCCACAATCCTCTTCTCGGACACATCTGTCCTCACATCCAAGCTCGATGGATCAACATAAGGCGAAGTATAAGGAAGCTTCTGCCACTCTTCTAACCAAACCATGCTCTTTCTTTTTAACCCGAATCCTCTGGTGAACCCAACTGGAAACCTTAAGCAACCATGTTCTAGCTCTTCTTGGGGAGCCTTCGTCTGCAATTGTGATACAGCAAGTTGATCATCCCAGAATCGGAGCTTCAACCCTACACGATCATCAGGGAAGCGAACCAAACAGAACTTATATGGATGGTGCAATACTAAGGAATCATGGTAATGGTAAGGCAACCCCAAGTCCCATTTCAGCTGGTCAATGGTTTGGAAAGGAAGAGACCTGTCCTTCGTGAGCATGAGCAGCTTGCAGAGCCTCTCAACAAGATCGTTTCGATTTTGATCAATTGCATTCTGCTCCTCCTGGTGGAGATCCAATGCCTCAGGGGTCAATTGGAAGGAAGGAACCCGAGTTCCACCACTGTCGAGAATGTGGTATTCATGAAAGATTGTTGGGTATCTCCTAAGGAAAGTTGAGAGCTTGAGATCGAGAGGCAAACCTAGTTGGCCGCGATGCTTGGTGAGGGAGTAAACAGGGAGGGAATGGCTGGGAGCAGATGATATTATGGAAACGAGAAAGCAGACAGCTTTCAGATCGCCCTGGCCAGAAACGACCCTGTCTAAGACACTATCTTTAACCCATTTCAATTTCACATTCACTAAGCTGAAATTCTGCTGCAAGCTGAATGCTTTACGAGAGCCATGGAGGAAACCGGAAACGTTCCCCCGTCGCAATGAAAACATGAGAACAATAAGAACTACTCACCGCTTACTGACGAAAATTGGAGAAACAAAAGCAGAAGCGAGCATAATGGAATTCTGGGTTGTCGGATTTATTGGGAAAGGAAGGAAATTGTATGTAGTTTGGAGAGCGGAGGAGTTGAATCTGCGACTGCCTGCCAACTGTTTGTGGAAATGCGTGAGACAGATATGCCCGGGAGGCGGGAGCGGGAGGTGGATAGTGGCGGGAGAAGAGTGAAAGATGACGAAAGACCGGTCTAACGGGAGTACAATACAGTGATCGATAGGCTAGGCGTAAAATTCAATCAACATTCAAATATTCAATACCAAGTTTGATTTATTGAAAAGGGAACGGAAGCTCTCGCACCGCATACTATATTAGTATCTCCCACCACTATAAAGCAGAACTCGCCACTTGGTCCCGCGCTTTCCATCTCCCACCACACAAAGCCTTCGTCGACGTAAAAAGGAAACCCACAACGAACCAAACTTCTTGGGCGCCAGTCCCTGTCAGTGTCAGATACGATACGACCCTCTGTTCACTCCCAACGTTGGCTATATAATGCAAAGCTTCTCCCTTTCCTCACCCTCTCACTCAGAAGAATTCAGAAGCTACCTCTCTGCTATAACTCCGACGAACATTTTTCAACCAGAGCTCCGGCAGCCATGGCGGACAAACATTACCGGGTTGGATACGCCCTCGCTCCCAAGAAGGCGAGCAGCTTCATCCAGCCGTCCCTCCTCGACTACGCTGCCGGCCGTGGCGTCGACCTCGTCGCCGTCGACCCATCAAAACCCTTGACCTCACAGGGCCACTTCGACTGCATCATCCACAAATTCTACGACGAGGATTGGAAGCTCCAGCTCGAGGCATTCGCCGGGGAAAACCCTGATTCCGTGATCGTCGACCCGCTCGAGGCCGTGGAGAAGCTCCACAATCGCGTCTCTATGCTCGAGGTGGTGAGCAAGCTGAAGCTCGATCGGAAGGAGCGGGCTGAGATTCCCCGACAGGTGGTGGTCTCGAGTTCCGCCGAATTGAAACAGAGCGAGGCGGTTAAGGAGCTAGGGTTTCCGTTAATCGCCAAGCCGATGGTAGCCAACGGAACAATTCTGTCGCACAAGATGTATCTGATCTTCGATCGTGAAGGATTAGCTGAGCTGGAAGAAGCGCCGGTAGTGCTGCAGGAGTTCGTGAACCACGGCGGCGTGATCTTCAAAGTCTACGTCGCCGGCGGCCATGTTCAGTGCGTGAAGAGGAAGTCGTTGCCGGACATTACGGAGGACAAATTGGGGGCGCCGCCTCTGAAGGGCTCCCTCCCTTTCGCTCAGATCTCCAATCTGGCCGATGGCAGCGAGTCGGAGTTCGCCGGCGTCGAGATGCCGCCGGAAGGGTTTGTAGAGGAAGTTGCTAGCGGGTTGAAGGAGGCAATGGGGCTGCATTTGTTCAACTTTGATGTGATTAGGGATAGTGGGGATGAGAATAGGTATCTCGTGATTGACATCAACTACTTCCCTGGGTATGCCAAGATGCCGAATTACGAGCAGATTCTGACTGGTTTCTTATTGGAGATCTTGGGAGTGAAGAAGGAATAAAAATGTGGAGAAGATGGTGAGAATGGTGCTTTAAGGAAACAAGCAATGGTGCCATTGTAGGTTAACAGGGTTCTTGAAAGTTTGTTCTTTTCTCTGTGTTTCGAAATGCTGTTCAAGGTTTGGGATGGTGGTAAGAAACGGTGGATGATGAAGATCCACCCATTTGATTCCAAATGTTTCATGCTTATGTTGTGCAGTAGCTTTCCTAGCTAGTCAAAGGGCCCATTTTGTTTGTGCAACTGTAACAGCAATGGTTTCTATTTGTGCAATGCAATGCAATGGAGCTTCTCTTTTTCCCAATGATTCGTCTTTGCAAGAGTCTCCCTTATAGTTCCCTTTTCTTTCCAGGGTTTTTGCGTTTCCACTAACAAACTACATCGATGGAGTGTTTGCATATTCTTCTGATGATTAATTGACAGATTAACTCACCCGGTTGAAGCTGTTCATATGAAATAGGTCACATTCTTCCACACTTTCCTAGATCCTGTGGGATTAGGAAGTTACAGTTCTCGACTTTCAGTACCATATCATTGATGCAACTGATGTCTATTGTATGGCTTTAGAGATTCCCCCCAAATAAAGTTGTAGATTCAGAGACTGACTTGTGGTTAGGGGATAGCACGCAACATGAACTCAAAGCTAACTGGTAGTGTTGAAACTTTTAACAGTTGACTGTACGTGGTTTTGGCAATCAGAGAATAGTAGGAATTGGTGTTAGTGTTGTGGTATATGATCCACGATTGAACCTCTCTCAACAACTCGAGTTATTGGGACCAACTGGTTCTTGACATGGTATCAGAGCCTAGAACCGAAAGGTCATGTGTTCGAATCTCCACGACTTCCAATATTAACCGTCGTCTTTCAAGCACATGGTATGGTGGGCCTGTGCAAACTTCAAGCCCATGGGTTGGCTTTCGTTTGAGGGGGCGTGTTAGAGAGTGGTATAAGATCCAGCATAACCTTCTCCCAACAACTCGAGTTATTGGGATCAACTGGTTCATGACAATTGGAACTCTTGTGGTTTTCAGCAATTAGCATAGGTTCCATTTTTTCATGGAATTTTTTGTTCAAACAAGTTCGCCAAACCAAACGTTGTTCACATGTACATAGGAAATGGTAATTGGAACAGTTGTCAACTGCATCTGCGAAAACAAAATGGCCTTAAGTTAGGCTGGTCATTGCTATCCTCCTCCAACTAGTTTGTCTGCCTCTACAAAATCCAGAAAAAGCTGCTCTCACATGCTCTCCTACTAGTTCTTCCAGCCAAAGTACCACAATCCTGTTCATCAAGTTTTCATGTATCAATTGGTATATCCTACAAAGCGAATTGCTATTAACCAGGCATACAGAATGAGCAAACCTTACCACTCAGACTGAAGTTGAATCCACTTTCCGAAGCGGTTTTATCACCATCAAAGCTACCTCCAACGGTTCTTTTAATATGCTTTTCTTGGACTGCAATGTTTGAATATAAAATGCATCAATCTGGACCAATGGTGCCAAGAAAAAAAGTGATACAATTGATAGGAAAACAACCCGGCTATTATCCTAGCAGCCAAATTCGTGAGCTTTGGCTGCTGAGTTGAGACATGTATTGCTCATGCAAATAATACAAAGAATCCGATGACCTGTTGTACCTTCAAGGAAGGAACTAATGCAAACACTTCTTCAGCAGTCTCAGGGCAAGCATTGGCAATCATGCTTATCTGCATCCATAAAATTAAGCTGAACATGTTTAATGGCTTATGCCTCTCCTTAAGTAGTAAGGATTGGACTTCCAAAAGAGAGTTCAAGGGATATACCTCTCCATCAACAACACCATGCTTCTTGAGAGTACTGGGTAACTTAAGTTAAGAGATCCACAATGAATTGAATATCGTTTGCTATAAAAACGAGCGTTATGTGAGAGGCTCTAAGAGAGCAAAGACATATGAAGGATACTCTAGAACACGTCTAACGGAGTGGGTATTTGTGTAACGAGCATTAGCCTGTGCGTAACTCAGCCCCTTGTGAAATGAGCTGTCAACCACAAAAGGAGACATGCTTATCACTTTATGATTCTTCTACCTGATAAAAGAAGCTTGGAGTATTCCTTTACTCACACAGGCAGTTTGATGGTTGCATCTTGAGATAGAAGAGTCATCTGATCCTGTATTCCTTGTAAGATTTCAGCAGCCTCACTGTCCATTAAGCATTTGGCATTCTTCAGACGATCTAGCAAAGGCCAGGAGAAGAAAATGGTAAGGTTTGTTAAACCTATAAAAGGATAATAATCAGAGAAATGGTATTTTGCTGAATTTTTAGGAACAAATAGAGACTACCTACCTTGGTCTAACCTAAGCTCAAGTGGCTCCTTTTCTTTTGATTTCGAGGCCTTTCCATTTGCAGTGCTTCCATTACCACCTATATTAAGAACCATAATAGCTTCACATAAAAAACATATATATACTATAAAGGCAGCCAAAAAAAGAACCGAGGGAACAAGGAGGAAAAGTAAAGGGGAAATGTGGTAAGGAACATAATATTTCAACCTTTATCAGCTGAGGAACTAGACTTCCCGTTTGACTTTGAGTAATCAAATCTCTCTTCAGGAGAGCCTGAGATACAGAAATGGATGTTTAGAAATAACACTAGAAAAGAAGATGCTAACAATCACACTCCTTCAAATCTATAGATGTAATAATAGGATATAGCACACATGGGAAAGAGAAAATTAATAAACATGATCGATGAGCAAAAAAGACAGCTTTAAGAAAGATAAGAAGCTGTTAACCTCCATTGTTGAACTGAACTTTCCTCCCCTCTTTTGACTTTTGAGAGGAATCATCCTTGCCTACAAAAGGTAGAGAAACAAAGTATTTAAGAAACATAGAGCAAGTTAAATCATCCTCTACTTCAGGTGAAGATACAAAACGAAGCTAAGCAAGCCGGTGGCATGCAACTGATCTAAACTACCAGTCTCCCATTTCATGCACACTATTCAAGCACCAAAAGAAACAAAATTCACAGCTTCATCACAAATTCCACAAACACAGAGGATCTCCTGATAACCAAGATAAACAATGTGCGTCTAGAAACACTTAGCAAAATCATCAGAATAGAGAACCAGAAACAATCCACCACCGAGGCCAACTTCCTTGGATGGAAAATCAGGAAGAGAGTGCCTATGCACCTTCCCAGCAAGCAGCAAGTTAGAAATGGACGGTCAAATATTCATGGGTTCTCTCAACAGTTCACAGTTTGCCACAGCATCTTTCACTGCACCATTCATCTAGTTCAGTATGAAGAACAAAACCATATTCACAGTTCTCTCGCAAACTGGCCTTCCGCAACACCCAAATAAGAAAAATGTCGCTTCCTAAGCAATACTCAAGAGGGGAAAAGGGGAATCAAAAGACAGAAAAATGGAAAGTTCTTCTTCATCTATCGAAAGCAAATTGAAGAATAGCGCCAAAAAAAAATCCTTACTTGGAGTGGACTTGAGAGAGGACTTAGGCATCGAAAACCCTTTCCCATTTTTCTCCATTGCTATCAGCTAAAAGTTGCTGCGAAGCCAAGAAAACAGTCGAATGATCGTCACTTTGACATGTGTTCCACACTACCCAGAATTCGAATCGAAATCTTCATGTTCATGCAATCAAGTAGCTATGATTTCTAGAGCAGATAACCTAATGGACAACGGAACATCATTGGAGAACAGGCAAATGGAATATCGAAGGACGAAAGAGAAGAAGCGAAACCGCTGAGAAGCTTACCGAATAGAGATTGCCGGAGATTGGTGGTCGGCGATCGACTGGTGCCGTCAGTCCAGTCCCTCTTCTAGTTGTTCAAGTCGGAGGATGACAAATGCTGGCGATTTTCGGATTTTGCATAAGACCAGCTCGGGCATGTCCAAAAGATGAATAGAGATGGATACAAGTCAAGTCATACAACGTGGTTTAGGTGTAAATTACAGAAATAGTCATTGAATTTATGCATGTAACTTTTCCGCTGCCAGCCGGGAATTTTTTTTAACAAAACGGCCACTTATTTTATTAGTTTGTCATCTTAAAGGACCAGAGTTACTTGCAGAGCAAGACACTAGAATACCCTTCTTGATGCTGAGCCATTACATAGCAATTATGTTTAGTGCATCTAACTTTTATGTTTGACGGGATGGCAATTTTGTTCATACCCATGGATATTTATTATTCAATTCAATTGGGTTGAGTATGAAATCCAACTAGATGGTAGATGGTAGAGTTTTATTGGTTTGTACACATACTCATTTACTTGGGTTGGATTGAATTGAGTTTTTAACGCATAGATTTGGGTTTGTATCCATGCCCAAATGTAAATTATATTTTGGTACCTAAACTTAAAAGATATGCAGATTTAAAACACCCTAAAGTAAATGAATATCCATATCCATCTCATACTCATTTAGATTTCATACCTTACCCAAACTCATTTACAAACCCTCAAACTCATATATACCTCTTTCATATTCTACCCATTAGCATTAGCAATGGGTCTACTTGGATTGGATATAGTATTCATGAGTGGATAATTGTCATACCTAACCCTAATGACATCTCGTAGCCACGCCTCTTTCCTAGATGCCAAGAAGAAGACAAACCAAAAATGGATACCAAGTCAATCGTTTGCCCGGCGTTAATGATGAAGGCATGGATGTGGTGCTAACTCGTAGTTGGCCCGCGAAACATTAACAATGAAGGAACCATATTCGTCATCCTTGTAAGTTGTGTGCAAGAGCTGAACCGTTGGTGAAAAAACTGCAACATCCATTGGTGTATGAGAGAAGAGAGGTGTAAACTGCAACAAATGAACATCCTTTCCTATCTCTAGAGTAATGGCATGGGGAGAGGATTTCATACCATCGATAACCATAATACTGGTTGAGCAATAAGCTGGTATCAATATTTTAGTCGGTCATAAACCAAAATACAATCTGGATCACAAATATACCTACCGAAATTGATGGAACTGCTTTGACTACTACTAATATCGCACAATACATAATAACACATATACCAACATCGAAAGAAGTTTTAATCTCATCTAGACACCAGCATATATATATAGAGTATATAAGTTATAACCAAATCTTTGGTCGATCCATCAGTGGCTACCAACATATATATCTATGAATTTTACTACTTCAGCAGGTTGCCATCAATTGCCTTCTTCATCTGAGTCAGAAGATCCGGAGTCAGACACCTTGTTGTATAAAAACTTGTTATGATCATTCATCTCATTCGCACCATATTGGCAAAGTTTCATAGGAGGATGAAAGCAAGCTTCTTGGCAATAGACACAACCTTTGCAGAGAAGATCTACATACAACAAAATCAACATCATCATTAGCTTCACACTTCACATCTTTATCGGTCTATCTATCTATATCAGCAAAGTTAGTGTATCGGTACCCTAAACTCAATGCAATTTTGGTTATTGAGGCTTGAATCAGATAATAAGTAGACGCATAAGATTAAAAGAGTGAATCCACTTCTCAAATTGAGGCCACCACCACTCACGGAAAATTACAACAATCAAAAGAATCAATCTCTCTCCTACTTACTTACCCTTTTCAAAAGCGCTCAAGTTGATACAATCCAGAACGCGAAAGGCTCCCTGCCCGTAGTATTTGAGCGTCTCTGCAAAAAACAACAGAGTACTGTTCGTGCCATTCTCCTCCTTGGCAGTAAAGTTAGCATGACATACAATTGCGTGATTAAACAGTACCGAACGACTAAACAGAGCCTCAACAACCACATAGTTGGTACCCTGTTCAAATCCAATCAACCAAACAAACAATTAATCGGGATCATCACGTAAGCATTTCAGACAAAGGGATTGAAGTAGGGGAACCAGTAGATTAAAATACATTCTTATTGTTGAAAAATTTCACAGCACGTTGGGCAATTAGGGTAGTTTCCTTTCTCCTGAATGCTTGATCTTTCTCATCGTCGTCATCGGAACTATGCAAAATCAAATTCACCAAGTTTCAATGAGATTGAAGGAACGAAAAATAAACATAAACAGAACCATTAAGCCAGCATATGCGTGAACATTAATTAAAAACCACACTCACTCTGAGCCATTATATGCACACGACTGCAGTAGCTTATGAAATTTGCTGTTAGGAGGAAGTAATCGGCTCGTATCCGGCACATAAGGTCCTGCATGATCCACCGCCGATTCCTCCGAAACATATAGCTTCTCTTCCACCGGCTCTACCGCAACAATAACCTCCTCCTGCTTATCATCAGCATGACCTAATTCCGTATTTTGACTCTTGGGTGAACAAGCTTCTTTCATGATCTCTTGCGCCTTACCAAGTTCATATATTTTTGCTCCGCCTTTGTTTTGTTGATTGCGAACGGCTGGCGTAGAAGAAGCGAAACATCGATCTTTGGATAACAGGCGAATGGAATATGGAAGGATGAAGGAGAAGAAGCGAAACCGGTGAGAAGCTTACCTAGGCTAATAGAGAGATTGGTGGTCGGCGATCGACTGGTGCCGTGATTCTCACCCAGTTGTTCGAGGCGGACGATGACAATCGCTGGCGATTTTCGGATTTTGCTTTTGGACCAACTCGGGCACGTCCAAAGACCAATAGACAGACACAAAGACCGTTTAGGTGTAAATCACTTAAATGGTCGCTGAATGTATGCATCTATCTTTTCTGATGCCTACCAGAAATCAATTTAACACAACAATCACTTATTTTATTAGTTTGTCATCTTAAGCAGGGCAGGTTCTTAGATATTGGAGACCCTAGTATTCGGTAAACAAAATGTGGTCAAAATTGATTTTACTAAAAATTTAATAAAATATAAACAAAGCAACAACCAATAAATAAAAATCATAACATTATTTAAAAATAATATCTATCTAATATGATACGAAATAAAGAGTGACAATGATTTAAATAGTAAGATGTAATTAAAAATGGATTATTTGAGAGATTGAATCAAAAAATATCCAAATAAAAAAAACAATTAACTAAACTCACCTGAATAGATAATGAGAAAAGATGATAATAATTTTAGGAGAATCAAATGTATGAACAAATAATAGAGTAAACTAAATTAGATAGGAGAAGCTGATAATTTTTTTAGTCTAAAATTAAGTATGATACAAATTATTAGTAATTGATTTAGTTTTTTTTTTCCTTTTCTACTATTGGTGGATTGTACCTAATTATTCCGGTTAGCGTTTAATAAATCAATGCGAATTATTTAATTAATTTAACATTACTCTCTTGCCAGTACAAGCAAATTAATTGACAAAATTGAATTATTTTTTCCCTGGAAAGTTGAAAAGGAAAAAAGTTAAAGCAAAAAATATAATAATGTTAATAATGAGGCATCAACAATCTTACCTCTATTATTTTTCCCCTCATGTGATGCATTGGTTCTTTCAGCCTCTGGACTTAAATTTTTTAAAATTATTTTTTAGACCCAATATCAAAACCCGAATTCATAAATTTTCTATCGTCTTAAATTCATAATCGAAACTGAATAATCCGTGATAGTTATTAGTCATATACACGATGGAGGTCTGGAGGCCCCCATAATTGGAGGCCCTGTGTCGAAGGGCCTGTCGTGCCGGCACACCCTCAGAGCCGGCTCTTAACAGAAGGTATCATTTGTTTGAGCTATTAGGTACAGAATGACTCGTTTGTTAAAGAAAAAAATTCACATACCCTTATTAATATAATAATAGGATATAACACTAGAAAAGAAGATGCTAACAATCACACTCCTGCAAATCTATAGATGTAATAATATGATATAACACGCATGGAAAAGAAGAAATTAATAAACATGATCGATGAGCAAATGGGACAGCTTTAAGAAAGATAAGAAGCTGTTAACCTTCATTGTTAAACTGAACTTTCCTCCCCTCTTTTGACTTTTGAGAGGAGTCATCCTTGCCTAGAAAAAGTAGAGAAACAGTATTTAAGAAATGTAGAGCAAGTTAAATCATCCTCTACTTCACATGAAGGCAGAAAACGAAGCTATGCAAGCAGGTGGCGTGCAACTGATCTAAACTACCAGTCTCACATTTCATGTACACTATTCAAGCACCAAGAGATACAAAATTGACAGCTTCTTCAAAAATTCCAAAAACAGAGGATCTCCTGATAACCAAGATAAACAGTGAGGGTCCAGAAACACTTAGCAAACTCATCGGAATAATGAACCAGAAACAATCCACCACCGAGGCCAACTTCCTTAGACGGAAAATCTGGAAGGGAGTGCTTATGCATCTTCCCAGCAAGCAGCAAATTAGAAATAGACGGCCAATATTCATGGATTATCTCGACAATTCACAGTTTGCCACAGCATCACACTACACCATCAAGAACGAAACCATATTAACAGTTTGCCCCGCATTAATGATGAAGGCCATGGATGTGGTGCTTACTGGTAGTTCCCCATGAAACATTAACAATGAAGGAACCATATTGTTCTTCCTCGTTTGCAAGACTCAAACCTTCCGCGAAAGAACTGCAACATGCATTGGTGTACGAGAGAAGGGAGGTGTAACACAACCAGAGACAAAGCAACATCCTATCTTATTACTAGAGAAATGGCATGAGAGAGGATTTCATACAATTGATAACCATAATGGTGAGCAATAAACGGATATCAATATTTTTGTCAAATGGTTATAATCCAAAATACAACCTGGATCACAGACATACATATTTGAAAAGAGTATTGTTTGCAGATGATCAACATCAGACATAAAACACACTAACATTAGACATAAAACACAGAACTGAAACCAACGGAACTGCTTTAACTACTACTAATAGCGCAAAATACATAATAACACATACCAATATGGGAAGAAGTTTTAACCTCATCAAGACACCAACATATATAGAGAATACATAAGTTAAAAACCAAGTTTGGTCTATCCATCAGTAGCTATCAACATATATATATATATGAACTTTACTACTTCAATAGGTTGTCATCAATTGTCTTCTTTGTCTGAGCCGAAAGATTCAGAGTCGGTCACCTTGTTGTATACAAACTTGTTATGATCATCCATCTCATTCGCACCATATTGACAAAGTTCCATAGGAGGATGTAAGCAAGCTTCTCGGCAATAGACACAACCTTTGCGGAGAAGATCTGTATAAAACAAAATCGGCATTAACATTAGCTTCATATCTCTATCGGTCTATCTATCTATATCAGCAAAGTTAATGTATCAATACCCTAACCTCAATGCAAGTTTTGTTATTGAAGCTTGAATCAAATAAATAAGTACGCATAAAAGATTAATAGAGTGAATTCACTTCTCAAATTGAGACCACAATTATGATACACCACTAACTTAGAATTGATACATGATAGGGAGCTCAACCAACAACAATCAAAAGAATCAATCTCTCTCCCACCTACTTACTTACCCTTTTCAAAAGCACTCAAGTTGATACAGTCCCGAATGCGGAAGGCTCTCTCCCCATAGTATATGAGTGTCTCTGCAAAAAACAGAGTGTCCATGCCATTTTCCTCCTTGGCAGTAAAGTTAGCATGGCATACAATTGCGAGATGAAACAGTACCGAACGGCTAAACAACGCCTCGGTAACCACATAGTTCGTACTCTGTTCAAATCACATCAACCCAAACAAACAATTAATTAGGATCATCATGTAAGCATTCATACAAAGGGATTGAATTAGGGAACCGGTAATTGATATACATTCTTGCTGTTGTAGAATTCCACAGCACGTTGGGAAATTAGGGCAGTTTCCTTTCTCCTGATTGCTTGATCTCTCTCATCGGTCATCGAACTACACAAAAATTCCACAAGTTTCATTCAGATTGAAGGAACGGAAACAAATATGCGTGAAAATTAATTAAAAATCACACTTACTCATAGCCATTATACACACAAGACTGAAGTATCTTATGAAATTTGCTGTGAGGAGGAAGTATTCGGCTCGTATCCAGCACATAAGCTCTCGCATCCACCACTGGTTCCTCCCGAACAGATAGCACCTCCTCCATTGGCTCTACCGCAACAATAACCTCCTCCTTCTGCTGATCGTGTTCCGTCTTTAGCCTCTTGGGTGAAGAAGGTTCTTCCATATCTCTTGCCTTGCCAAGTTCTGATCTTTTTGCTACGCCTTTGTTTTGTTGATTGCGAACGGCTGGAATAGAAGAAGCGAAACATCTTTAGATAACAGGCGAATGGAATGTGGGAGGATGGACGAGAAGAAGCGAAACCGCTGAAAAGCTTACCAATCGAGATTCGTGGTCGGCGATCGACCGGTGCCGTCAGTCTCCCAGTTGTTCAAGGCGGACGATGACAAACTGTCAAAATATTCTACTAGAAAAAAGGAACAATGAGTCGAGCCTTTCTTGCTACAATTAAGCCCACCAAAAGTTGGGCCGCTAAAGATATTAGCGGGCCCACTGAGAGCTTATCTTGATTAAAAAAAAATCATTCAAAATATAGACACATTCACGCATGATCAAGGATAGCAATAACCATAATTACAGAGAACTACCATTATCAATAGATACATATGATAAAAGGTTAACTACACAAAACAACAAAACAAGAAGACTTTGAGTCAACAATCGTACTTTTCTACTTCCCCATGCACCCTGCCACCATGTTTTGTGCTGACAAACTATATACGAATCAATGATCTTAACTAGAATGGAAAAATTGCCTAGTGGCATGGCTGCACGTTCCCAGTACTTGGCCATCTTTTGCTCACATTAATTTATCAGCCCAAGTTGCACTTACCATGCAAGATTTGGCACTATAAATACCAGGGCCAATCGAGCCAAGTTTTCTCATCTCCCTCAAGCTTTTCTTCCATCTCAATATCCATTTCATTACATCCAAAGCTAGCTAGATAAGTAATCTTTCCTGCAGGTAGTAGAAATGGCAATGAAGAAGCAAGCAGTGCTCATTGCTCTCACATGGCTGCTGGTGCTAGCCACCATTGTCATATCTGCTCACGCCACTGCTGATGCTGCTGCTGGTACTGTTAAACAACCCGACGCTTTCAAGGACCCGAATGTTGCTCAACCCATGGCTGGTAAGGGTTTGAATCTGTTTCCTTGAATCATAAGCCACTACTTTATTTTACATATACTCTCTACAGATCAAACTTAATTACAAGCTGCAGTACTAGGATGCCTTGCTGACATTTTGTTTGGTTCTTTATAAGGTTGTCGCTGCTGCACTTGGTTCAGGAATCAGTATGGAAATCTCCAATGTGGGTATGTTTGTTGTACCGATGGTTGTTGCTAAGCACTACTTGGTCAAGCAATCATAATCAAGATCAGAACTCTCGCAATAATGTTAAGAATCATGCCGTGAACGAATGTATCAGAGGGCTTCCTATGAACCTCTCCAATAAAATTAAGTTTCTGCATTTCAGTTTCTGTTAGTAATAATTTCAGTTTCCAAACCGTTGTATCGAAATCTGCATAATGCAGATTCCTTGCATCTGCTGATGAAATTTGAAGTACTTTCTTACATGTGGAAGAACAAGTTGGGTCAAATGTTGGGGTAAACTGTGACTTTCACGGCAACAAATCATATATCAATGAATGGAAGGTAAAAACAGAGGAGATGCAGAAGCTATCAAGCTAATGACAGCAAATAATATGATTTCAAGGCATAACTCCAGAAAACCAGTAGCGAATTCTGCTACCATTCTCAACCTCGTTGAATTAAAATGGATCTTTACATGATAAAATCAGGATTGAGGGATATGCAGAAGCTACAAGTGGACACATACTAAATAACTAACTGAACAAGTATTGAACTTCAGCAGCCAAATCCTAAGCAGTAACGACATACACTGCAATGGGACTCCTAACATAATGTATCCCATCAGTCCATGTAATCCCTCCAAACACATAATCATCAGCTGTACCATTCCATTTAGCCTTCAGTATCACCTTAAACTTCTTCTCTTCTCCAAGCTTGTTGAACTTTAGGACATTAGGCTTCACTGAAACCGAAACACCCTTTGGTTCCTTGATCCTGACAGCATACCTGGCTGGTGATTTCCCTACGTTCTTCACCTTCCTCGTCATGGTGATCGAGGACCCACCCTTAAGTTTAGGGACCGCAATTGAAGGGTAGTTAAGGTCCATGATCCTGGCGTGTTTGGGGCACTCGTGAGGAGCGTCGGAGAAGAGCTTCAGGAGAGTCTTGTTGTACCCTCTAGCACATAGGAAGTCCAAGTAGTCACTGACACTCAAGTCATAGACTAGGCCAGGGTCCATGGCGCGGTTTGGCCTAATGTGTCCTGACCCATAACTAAACGGTGTGGCCTTCTCTAGGGTGGAATCGAGGATCGGATTGCGAGCATTATCCCTTGTTCTAGCTGTAAATGAACCACAAGAGGGTATTTTATGACATTCGCTCTGTCTCAGAGTTTAGATAAAGTTACTGCCTCTTTGTTAGCAAACACGTAACTTACCGGTGGTCATGATAGCAGATCGAATGGCGGAGGGGCTCCAGTGAGGGTAGACAGCCCTGAGAAGGCCGAAGACTCCCGAGACATGAGGGCACGACATGGATGTGCCAGAGAGAATGTTATAAGGGAACTTGCGAGGGTCTTCACTTGGATCTGTGGGTTTGGCTTCAGTGTAGGCTGCAATGATGTTCACTCCAGGAGCAGTGATATCAGGCTGCCAAAAACAAACAGAATCAACTTATAAGCGACATATCAGGAAACTTGAATGACAAGTAACATTGATCTTTGAAGCTCTATACGACACACCTTGAGGACGTAAGGTGCAATGGTATTAGGCCCCTTGGAGGAGAAGTCTGCCATGACTGGAGCAGGCTTTACGTTCACCATTGAAGTTGAGGGAGTAATGTATGCCTTTGGATGTCTGCGTGAAGAAATAACTATTTGAGCAAAAAGATCAGAATACAAAGGTAAAAGGAGAATAATGTTAAGTCTTACTTTGTGGAACTGATGTAACGGAAAAGTGCAACACCATCTCTGTAGCCAATTTGAGTGGCAGGCAAAAAATGGGGATCAGCTGTGAGATCACCATCACCATTGATCTTATCATTGCAGAGAATCATCCCAGAAGCACCTGCCATGGCAGCTATTTTACCCTTCTCTACCCTTCCAATGTCCCCCCTCAAGCAAGCCAAGATCTTGCCTTTGGCCTTTTTCGGATCCAATGTCTTAGGTTTGCACAAAAGGCTATTGGAAAACAAGGTTAAGATGAAATATATTATTTGTATAAGCAATTGATTTAGTAAAGATACGGTGATGAAAAGAAAAACGTTCTTACGCGTCTTTAACAGTGGCATGGGCAGCCCTAGCTTGAGCTGCGGAAAGAAGTGGGTATGTCTTGTTTTGGGGCAGAGGACCGGAGAGACTTTCTCCCTAGCGAAACAAATTCAAGGTGAAAAAGTTCACTAAGACATCACAAGATGTAACAGTAGTTCTTTCAAACTTATCAATGAACAGTTTTTGCTTATCACTAAACTATTCTTCCTAGTGATTAGAGGTCTGTACAAGAGGGGGAAAAAGAGGCAGCACCTTAAGTATCAAGCCATTGTCCAGCTGAACAGAGGCAACAAACTTCCTATCCAAGGTACTTGCTGCAACTGTAGTGATCCAAGGTGCCAGGTTCGATACTGTTCCAGGCAAAGGGCCAGAGTTACCTGCAGAGCAAGAAACAAGAATACCCTTCTTGACAGCATGGAATGAGCCAATGGCTACGGCATCCTGAAAGTACTCGTCTGCACTCCCACCGAGAGAGACAGAGATCACATCCACACCATCATGGATAGCAGCATCAAATGCAGCCAAGATGTCGGAATCAAAGCATTCACTCTCGTTGACCGGCGGCCAGCAGACCTTGTAGGCTGCCACTCTGGCTCTAGGGGCGCCACCCTTTGCTGTTCCCTTCACTGCGCCGAGGATCTTGGCCTGAGGGACGAAATTTCCCCCTGCTGTAGATAATGTGTGTGTCCCATGGCCTTCGGAGTCACGAGCTGAGAGGAAAGACTGGTTGGTTGGATTCCCACCAGCTTGGGTGTAGCCTTTGCTGAAGAATCTTGCACCTATCAACTTCCTGCCCAAGTTTTCCATTATGATCATTATTTCATATCGTCCCCACTATCATTCCCACTGATGATTAAAAAGATCGTTCCATGGCGAAGAGTTTAACTAACCTGTTACAAGGGACTCCAGCCTTGGTGTTGTTCTGGCATATCCCTTTCCATTTGGATGGGACGGGACCATATCCTTCATCATCAAAGCTCTTGGATTCAGGCCAAACTCCAGTATCCAAAGTGGCTATGATTGTGCCTTCACCAAATTTGGCTGCCTTCCACAATGGTCCAGGGTGACCTGCCCCATTCTTCTCTAATGACAAGTAGTCCCATGATCTTGTCGTGTGCAGCTTCCTTCCTCGGTCCAAGAAAACCGATACGACATCTGGGTGTTCTGTACAATTCGACAGAAAGAGAAAAAAAAAAAAAGAAAGAGGGTATGCATCAAATCCTCCAGAGGAGGGTTCTCACTATAGGCTGGAAAACACAATTCTCATCAGAAGAGGCAGAATCAATAACAAATATTAACTTTCTGATCTGATGATGCAAACTAAGTCATGGTTTGCTGTTTCTTACTGGCAATTTCAGCAGCTTCTGCCTCATCAAGCTTGGCAGTGAAGCCATTGATGTTCCAAGTGTAAGAGTATCCAATTGCTTCTCTGGCTTTCTCACTACCAAACACAAACATACATACCCCCCAAAAAATGATCATTCATGGTACCCTATTCATCTTTTATTCGAATCTCGAGATCAACATCACACATAAGGACAGAGAGCGTTCAGTTTACCTTCCTAGGAATGATCCAAGAAGATTGTGGTGAGATTCTGTGATGGCCTGAACACTATAGGAATCATCAGGCAGAGAGGATTGAGCAGTAGTAGTTGCAGTCCTGTCACTGCCATCATGTGAATGAGATCCCAGGTAGACAATGTAATTCCTTTGGATTCCTTGGACACGATTAGGAATCTGGAACATAAACAAAACCATGAAACAATAGTAAACCAACCCCATTGTTGCTGTTGATTCTTTTCTTTCTTTCTTTCTCTTTCTTTCTGTGTTTGTAGCAGTTGAGAATCTCGATTTATAATAGGTACAGAGGCTTCAGGATTTGCGAAGATATTACTACTACAGCTGTCAGGAATAATATTCATCAAATATGGAACATTTTGGGTATGGTAATTCTCTGATAGAATGTCAGGATACAATGTACAAGGTAAGGGTTTCTGAACCAAACATGGTAAAAATCTGCAGCAAATATGCTAATAGTTAAGAAACAACCCTCTCGTGATTCAAAATTCACTGTCTCTGGCCCAACAATTACTCTGTTTCTGTTTCCGATTCATAGCAGGTAAGAAAATTCATTAATGGATACATCCTAAAATGGTTGCAAATAAATGGAGAACAAAATCAACTACTTCCAAGTCCACACGAGTACCAAACATAAAAACACCACTTGACAATTAGCATGTCCTACTCAATCCTGATCCTAAAAGGACTACTAAACAACTAGCTCAATCACTGACTAATTTCCAGATCATCAGTGAAGAAGATCGGACTCCTGACGTAGTGAACTCCATCGGTCCAAGTGAGTCCACCGAACTCAAAGTCCTTAGCCGCACCTTTCGATTTCGCAGCCACCATGATCCTGAAGCTCTTCTCCTCGCCGTATTTCTCGAACTTCAACACATCGGGCACGACCTTCACCGCCACCCCGTAGGGCTCCCTCACCTGAGCCGTGTAGGTCCCCGGAGGACCCACATTCTTCACCCTCCTGGTCAGGGTGACCGGTCCGGCCCCGAGTTTGGGGATGGAGAACGAAGGGTAGTTGAAATCGAACACGCTCCAGCGGGTCGAGTTGGAGCATTTGTGGCCAGGCTCGAACGTGCCGATCGAGGAAGTGTTGTAGCCTAGAGAGCAGAGGAAATCCAAGTACTCGTTGTTGGTCAGCTCGTAGACGAGCCCCGGGTTAGCAGCCTGGTTCGGCCTGACGTGGCCCGACCCATAAGCAAAGGAGTTGGTTCTTCCACCGCCCACCTCGGTCATTCGGTTCCCTGTATTGTCCTTGGTCCTCGCTGCATTTACCATCGAAAACAGACGTTGCAAATTTCAGGTAATTTCTATAACTATTTTTATACCAAAAGCAGAGCTAGCTTACTAACCGGTGGTCATGATGGCAGATCGGATGGCGGATGGGCTCCAATCAGGATGGACCGCCTTGATCAAGGCGACGATTCCTGCCACGTGGGGAGTGGCCATTGATGTGCCGCTTTCGAATTGGTAAGGAAATCTCCTGGGGTCGTCAGGGCCTGTCGCCTCGCTGGATGCGCTCATGGAGAAGGCAGCCAGGATTTGATCTCCTGGAGCTGTAACGTCAGGTTTCATGATTTCAGGGTTCAGGACATTAGGTCCCCTGGAAGAGAAATCGCACACTGCTGGAGCAGGTTTCTCGCCAAACCTGTCATAAGAATGGTGCAAATTATTATAAAATTTCATATTTGAATATTTGATTAAGCTTTACTAATTACTTTTACCTGGAAAATGTTCCTGTAATGTACGCCTCAGGATTTTTCGTACCGTTGATATACTTGAAAACCTTCAACCCATCTTTGTACCCGATCTGGACGGTGGGGATGAAATGTGGATCGGGAGAGATTTCGTCACCGTTCGATTTGTCGTTGCAGAGTATCATCCCGACCGCTCCTGCCTTAGCGGTCTCGTTACTTTTCGAAAGTCGCGACGTGTCACCACGAAGGCACGCCACGACCTTCCCTTTGACCTTGGCAGGGTCCAGTGAGCCTGGCTTACAGAGCAAGGCGTCCCGTGTCGCATTGGGACGTAGCCCTGCAGCTTCTGCGGCGGAAATCAGAGGGTAAAATTTGCGCACTGGGAGCAGGGCCTCCGTCATGCTGGCACCCTTAATCCGGAGCCCGTTCCTGAGCTCCGCGTACGTCTCGAACGACCTGTCCATCGTGCTGGCGGCGACGGTGAACATCCACGGCGCGAGGTTGGACACCGTGCCGAGCCCCGGTCCCGCGTTGCCGCCAGCGGCAACGACCGTGATCCCGGCCCTGACCGCATGGAAGGCGCCGATGGCGAGGCCGTCGGCGAAGTAGTCGTAGTTGATGTCGTCGCCCAGGGAGACGGAGAGGACGTCGACGCCGTCGGAGATGGCGGCCTCGAACGCGGCGAGGACGTCGGACTCGAGGCACGAGTCGGGGACGTTGAAGCAGGTCTTGTAGGAAGCGACCCTAGCTCGAGGTGCGCCGCCCTTGGCGACTCCTAGTGCGGCGCCGGAGAAGTTGGCTCCGGGGACGAAGTTACCGGCAGCGGTGGACAAGGTGTGAGTGCCGTGGCCGCCGAAGTCGCGGACGCTGTAGAGATCGGCGTGGGCGCCGGCTTTGGCGTCTGTGGGGACGGCCAGCACTCCTTTGTTGAAGTACCGAGCACCGATCAGCTTCCTGCAGCAGCATCGATCCATCATTCACAACTTTAATTAATTCTTTCACTTAGGAAAATTTTAATAATTAATTACCTGTTGCAACGGATGCCAGCTTTGGCGCAGGTGCCCTTCCACCTGGAAGGAACGGGACCATAGCCTTCGTCGCTAAAGCTCTGTGATTCAGGCCATACACCTGTCGCAAAAAAAAAAACAAAAAACAAAAACCGTACGTCGCTAAATCAAGTGTCAATCTCCGTCAGGAATTTATTAAGACTGATAATTAGTTAGTTATTTAATTAACCTCCGTCGATGTTAGCGATGATGACATCTTGGCCGAACTTAGCTTCCTTCCAGAAAGGCGATGGGCGGGCGACGAGCTTCCCGGTTGCTTTATCAGTAAATTGATTCTCCATCAACATGAAATTCCATGAGTGCGTCGTCTGGAGCTTCTTGCGACGGTCTGGGAAAACGGACACCACTCCAGGATGCTCTGCATGCATGCCATGCATCTCTCGTCAATCACTTCTTATTATGTTATTGGTGTAATTTTTTCCATACACAATACACATCGTATTAATGAACACCATTGAAACGACGTAGAAAATGAGGGGGTGAAATGAAGGCGACGTACTGGCGATCTGTGCAGCTTCTCCCTCGTTGAGGATTGCAGTGAAGCCATTGATGTGCCTAGTGTAGGAGTACCTGATTGCCTCTCTTGCTCTTTCAATACTGAAGGAAAGTAAAATTACAAACGATACATAAGTAAACACTAAACATCATAAAACCGGCCAACTAACTAATACTCCCAACAAAAGTGTATAGTAGTTTTATGCCAAGTAACTACATTGAATTAACATAAATGTATATGTAGATCTATATTACATTACTTACTCTCCGAGGTAAGTCGCGAGGATAGCGTGGTGGGAGTTGGTGATGGCGTGAAGATCAGCTTCGGTGGCGGAACTGGAGTGAAGGGAGCTGTGACCGCCCATGTACACTATGTAATGCCTTCTCCCGGCGGCGGCGGAAACAGATGGCAACGCCGACGAAGAGAGAAACAATAGCAACGAAATCAAGCACAAATGGAACACGAGCCGCCGTCTGCCGATCATCGTTGTCATCGTGACGGGCACCCGGCTAGCCTAGCTATGCTGAGTTTTCTGTCGTCACGCTCAGGATTGACGAAGATGGAATGAATTAGTATCGGATGTGCTTAATTTTATAATAATTAGTACTGGGTTTTATCGTGCCCCAACGAAGGTTTAGTGAAGAAAGAGTTCTAAGTACCTTCTAGTACTCCTTGCTTCTCTCGGGCATTACCATTTAATTATCGTGATACATGATAGATAGTGATAATTAGTAGAAATCAGAAACAAGATAATTTGCATATATCTATCTACTATTTTCAGTTCACATAACGTTTATCCGGTTTTATTTTGTTTTTAATTTTAACTACTTATATTCTCTATTATAATTACTCCACGGCGAGAATACTCCACCAGAATACTTATATAGTTTTACTCCACGGCGAGAAGAGCTCTCGCACTTTAGTGCACAATCCTTTTTTTTTTTTGGTGAAATAGTGCACAATCCTTTATACCTGAAACCCTTGGACAAACTACTTAGGGTTCGGTTGCCACTTCACGAGCACTTTACATAATCATCACTAGACAAATGTAAAAGGATAACTAAGTCCACAAACCACGCACGATAATAATTAAGCTAATTAAACGTGTATGCTCCGCAACAATTACTGCAAAAACACTTCATTTTATGCTAGGTCGATTTAAGGTTGAGCATGTTTAGACTCGATATAGAATGGATTGAGACTGTCCTTTCCAACGAAAAGCAGAAAATGATCAAAATTGACTCAGAATCGAGCACATTTATCATATGCTTCAATCTCGTCTTTCATCTACATCTGCTTTTAATTTATTTTGAAGAGCGTACGTATACATAGAAAAAAATGAAGTGATCTCATTGAGAACTAGATGTGTACTATATATTTACACCCAAACTGATCCAATAAATATGCCAATTGACTAATTAAGTCGGGTGTGAATCGAATTGAAGCACAATTGGAAAATACTATAATAAGAGAATTCGGAAGTCGAATTCAGAGAAGAAAAGCATGGACTTCATGGCTTGCATGCATGGTGATATGTGAGTCATCAATTAGCTAGATGCTCAATGAACATAAACCAAATGGTCCTAATAGCATATTTCAATGAACATCAAATAGCGATTCAGTAACGATATCATAGGCAGACGTGTTGTTAACTTGTACCATTATCACAATATTAATACGGTCAATCAATCATGCAGGAGAGTGGCCCTCTACATTTGTCTTTTGTGGTAGCTAGAATATCAAAGCACGTGACTGATCATCAACAAGAACTTGAGTCACATTTGGAATTTGGAATGAGAGGATGAATTGTAGGTAGACATGATATATTGTGTAAATTGGAGTGTTCTCTTTAAATGGGTCGTTCATCTCATCGGATTCGTTGTACAAGGATGAAGAGGCAAAATCACAACGAACTTGATTCAACCCTCTAGTCAGAATAAGAAAGCTTCTGGATACGTATCATGTAGTGGGGCCTTACAAGTTGTTTCGAGTACCAAAAATAATAAGGCAACGAGGTCCTTACTAATACGGATAATAAGCCAATAAAACAAACAATGGAGAATGCCAATAATTAATCAGCATGTACGTAGGGCACTAGGAGTATACATCAGACCAAATTGTACCGAATTGATATTTGGATTATGAATCAAATTCAAAAAAAATACTAAAAAGTACATGTAACAAGTTTGGAGAATAGCATTTTCGGTAGAGTTTTAGCTCCTCTCCTCAATATTTATCTTAGTTCAAATATCTTGAGTTTAGATTTTTTAGCCTCTTTTAAATAGATTTTTGGTTCCACCTCTGGTAGGTAGTCTGGTTAATCATACCGCTAATATCTCAAAATAAAGAATATAATAACTAGTTTATCACCATGTTGAAATCAAGTTCAATGAGTAATATCTTCAACTATTCTCATCTTTTCAAGTTTATTAATTCAACTATTGTAATTTTGGCACAAGTTAAACTTAGGGGTGTACAAGGATCCATTAACAGGCCATATTGGATCGTATTAGAATAGTTTCAAACTAAATGTACAGGAAATTTTAGAATTATAAACAATCTAAAAGAGTTTTGGTATTGTCCACATACTGATTCGATCCCATTTTTCTTTTTATACTTGAAATTTTCAAGTAATCAAGAGCATATAAATGTTCGAAAAAGATCAATAGCGTATTCAATCACAACTATCCTTTGTTCTCGATCCCCAATCTCTACTATGATGAATAAGAAAACAAGCAAGGTCATACTGTTAATAAGCCAGAAAAATTAAGGATTGCAAAATCATAGTAATTAAAGGTTGTATCAATAAGTAATTGTGGAAGAATATTTTGTGTTTAAACTGTAACAATACGGTTTAACAAATACTAATTACGTTCAAATTAACTCCAACTTGAATTATATTTTATATCACCGGATACAATCGATGAAGATCAATCATATATAGTAGTTGCTCACTCGTGGATATAATTGGAAAAGAGTAATTCCATTTTAGTTCCAAGTAGAATTCCTTTTTTTTTTCTTGGTAGAAAGTAGAATTCTTTCTTGAGTAAACTACTTCCACCTTCTTGGCAATCCCTTACTATATATATGCATACAAGCACCACAATCCGAATTCGGTACGATATTTTCCGAAAGTAAGGCGAAGAACCAAAACACCGTGGGAAGTTACCAATGACGACCAACCGCCGTCCGCCGCCGCTTGCGTTTCTGTGCTTGGTCTCGGTTTTGTGTCTTCTTTCATCGCCGTCGCTAGCTTCCTCCGCGAAAAGACATTATGTTGTCTACTTGGGCGGCCACAACCATGGCGGCTCTTCAGCCACTGAAGCTGATCTTCAAGCCGTCACCGATTCCCATCATGATCTACTCGCCACTCACCTCGGAGAGTAAGTTCTCTTGGATTAGTTTTTGTATCATGGATTTGATCGATGAATTTACGTACGTACGTAATTTTACAGCATGGAGAAAGCGAAGAATGCAATCCGCTACTCATACACCAGACATATCAATGGCTTCACGGCGGTATTGGACGCCGAAGAAGCTGCTCGAATCGCGAGTAATTAAATTTCCTTACAAAAAAAAAACGTCGCTATAAGTTTTGTTTCCGTCGCTATATCTATAAAAAACAGAATATTGATTTGACCTCTTTGGCAACGACGGCAGAGCATCCTGGCGTGGTGTCGGTTTTTCCTGACCGGATGAAGAAGCTTCACACGACGAATTCTTGGGACTTTATGTTGCTGAACAAGGAGATTGAGATCCCATCTGGAAAGCTGATCAAAGTCCCTAGTGAGATCTGGAAAGCTGCTAGGTTTGGCGAAAATGTCATCATTGGAAACCTCGATAGTGGTTAGTTTTACTTAATGACATACCTACTAATTGATTGCTTATGTTTGATATATACGTACTAGTCAATTGCCTAACTTTATTGTCCGATTGTTTTTTTTTTTGGTGAAATTATTGTCCGATTGTTAGTATTCAATTTAGTATTTATCTCTAATATATACTCGATATTAATTATGTTTTAGGTGTTTGGCCCGAATCCAAAAGCTTTAATGACAAAGGATATGGCCCTATTCCCGCTAAATGGAAAGGACTTTGCGAGAACAACACCAAGATCGGAGTCTCATGCAATAGGCAAGTTTAGTTCTTAATTAAACACAAGAAATATGAATAGTGTTATCAGAATTCAAATTGATGACTGCGGGAAATCGATGTACATGCAGGAAGCTGATCGGTTCGCGGTTGTACAACAAAGGTTTCATCGAGGACGGATCCACGGCTGATCCCGCCGATTTGTACAACCCACGCGACATGGACGGTCACGGGTCACACACTCTGTCCACCGCCGGCGGCAACTTCGTCCCTGGGGTCGACATCCTATCCGCGGCCGGCGGCGTGGCCAAAGGTGGTGCTCCGAGAGCCAGAGTTGCCGCTTACAAGGTCTGTTTCGTTGTCGAGGACGGGACGAGCTGTGCCGACTCCGACATCCTCGCCGGATTCGACGCCGCCATCGCCGATGGGGTCGACGTCCTCTCTGTCTCTCTCGGGAGCGAAGATTTCGCCGACTACAGTTACCTTGCCGACGGCCTTGCCATCGGCTCTTTCCACGCCGTCCGGTCGGGAGTCGTCGTCGTTGCCTCCGCCGGTAACTCCGGACCCGTCCAGGGAACCGTTGCGAACTTCGCACCGTGGATCGTCACCGTAGGAGCCAGCACCACCGACCGCAACATTGATGTCCACGTCGAGCTCGGTAAATTTTTATTCGAATTCGTGATTAAAGATATTATTACTCCTCTCACTAAAGTCGGTATAATTCCCGTCCCGTCACTAAAAACAGGTAACGGCGACCGGCTTAAGGGGACGGCGCTTTTCCAGAAGCCCTTGCCAGACCACAAACAGTACAAGCTGGCCAGTGCCGCTGACGTCAAGCTTCCGAACGCCACCGCGGAGGACGCAATCCTCTGCTTGCCGGGCACCCTGGACCCCACCAAGGCCCAGGGCAAAATCCTGGCGTGCCTACGTGGCAAGACTGCCAGGGTTGACAAGAGCCGACAGGCGAAAAACGCGGGGGCAATTGGGGTAATTCTCTGCAACGACGAGGCCAGCGGGATCGAGCTCGTCGACGACATCCACTACGTCCCGACTTCCCACGTCGTTTACAAGGACGGCGTGAAGGTCTTCCGTTACATCAACGGGACCAAGAATCCGACAGCCTACATCGCGCCACCTGTCACGACGTATGGCAACAAGCCGGCCCCTTCCTTGGCTGCTTTCTCCTCCAGGGGCCCCAATGTGGTGACCCCACAGATCCTGAAGCCTGACGTGGCGGCCCCCGGGGTCAACATCCTGGCGGCGTACACTATGGCCGGCGACGACGAGAGCCGGAAGTACCCTTACCAGCTGGAGAGCGGGACGTCCATGGCCTGCCCTCACGTCGCCGGCGTGGCTGCTCTTGTTAAAGCCGTTCACCCGGATTGGAGCCCTTCCGCAGTCCACTCGGCCATCATGACCACCGGTATTCTTACTAACCGATGGAAGTTACCATTTCATACAAGTTCCAATTTTTGTTACCGCATATTAAATATGCACCGTCCGTACATTTTGCAGCAAGGACAAGGGGTAACACGGGAGACAAGATGAACGACTTGAACGAGCACGAATCCTCATCGTTCGGTTACGGAGCTGGACATATCAGGCCGAATCGAGCCATCAAACCGGGCCTCGTTTACGAGGTGGCCGCCCACGAGTATCTGGAACTACTCTGTTCCATTGGATACAACAGCTCCGACATGGGCGAGCTACTGGAGAAGGGTTACAAGTGTCCGAAGAAGGTGAAGAGCGTGTTCGATCACAACTATCCTTCCTTCTCCGTCCCCAATCTCGGGTCCGGACCGGTTACATTCAAGAGGAGGGTGAAGAACGTGGGTCCTCCGGGGGTTTATGCCGCGGAGGTGAAGGAGCCATATGGGGTTGCGGTCAAGGTTGTGCCGGATGTGTTGAAGTTTGACAAGTATGGTGAGGAGAAGAGCTTCAAGGTGATGGTGGCAGCCAAGTGGAAAGGTGCGGCCAAAGGGTATGAATTTGGTGGGCTGACTTGGACCGACGGAGATCACTATGTTAGGAGTCCCATTTTTGTCACTGATAATTTAGTCATCGATCAGTCAAACAAGATTGTTGGTACTTATTAGGAGTTGTGGGATATCTTTTTCTTTTGATTTACTGATTAGGTTGTCGAATTTATTTGACGTAGCTTTTTAGATCATTATCAGTTTGATTTTATTGGGTTCTTTGACTTGCCAATCCAACGCTTCGATGTTTTTGCCTCACATTTTAGCTACCAAAATGTTTATTTCAATATTAGCATTTGAATAAATTGGTCAAAATTTGTAATGGATATAGCCTTCAAAATTGATGAGTAATATTATTTAAAAAACTGGACAAAATTTAAGATGGATAGCCTCAAAATTGATAATATATAGCTCATAAAGATTGGTCAAAATATGCCAATGATAGCTTTCAAAATCGGTGAATAATAAAAGTCAATAAATTAGGCAAAATCTGTTATTGATAGCCTTCAAAAATCGTGATGTATAGATTTTTGCCAAAAATGTCCTCTGAAAAAATCTGCCCAAGTCGATGCTTAATAGACTTAATCATCGGTGAAGAATAGTCCCAGGCCGAATTAGTGATTTATAGCCTTCAAAATTCAAGAAAAATGACCTTTAAAATTATCCGAAATCTGTGATGCCCATTTGGAATCTGCCAAAAATTATCCGGGATAAAATCTGTCCAAATCAGTGCTTAATAAACTTAATCATCGGTAGGGATGGCAATGTGGCGGGTTTGTGGCGGGTAGGGATGGCAATGGGTAGGGTCAGGTGCGGGTTTACCCTATACCAACTCCTAACCCGCCGGGTAGGGCTTTCTAAAATACCCGACCAAATAACCACCGGGTATGAAAATGATATAACCATACCCTACCCACTGGGTAACCACGGGTATTCGTGTAACCATGTGTACGAATCCTAAACTATGAACTTATACACATATATGCACATATATACTGTTGTCCATTAAAAATTCTCAATACTTGTAAGTTGTAACTTTTCTAGCTTCAACAATCCACACAAATAAAAACAACAAACACATAATAATTGTTCTTGCTTCTACAATCCACACAAACATAATAATCGTCTACATATTCATCATCAATAATGGTAGCTAACTCAATTTTTCAAGCTAAAATAAATTTCTCAAGGGAAATTGACCCTTTGGTTAGCGGGGCGGGTATTATCGATTACCATACCCGTACCCTACCCTTTATTTTGAAACCGGGTATTACCCGTACCCACCCCTTAACCCGTCAAACCGGGTAATTACCCTCGTTGACCGGTTACGGTCGGGTAGGGTACCCATGGTTACAGGTTGGATTGACATCCCTAGTGGCGGGTTTGCCTAAACCATCCCCATCCCCGCTTTCAAATATCTATACCCATACCCTCCCCATACCCATGGGTTTCGGGTACTCATGGGTAATACCCGCCTCGTCCATCCAGCATTATAATACAAAATATTTTACATGTAGATTTTAAATTATAACATTAAACGCACTTACTATATCATGAAGTCGACAAATAAACAATCATTTTTAATATGATTCAAAGCATTTTATCCTAAAGCATCCATTAATCCATATCAGAGTAGAGTACAATGTCATCCAAATCATTATTCTCTACTCTGATACATCTATTAAGTAATAATTGACTAACATAATCTTCTTAACAAGTAAAAAATTGAAAGAGTGAGGGAAAATTGAGAGAAAAAAATTAAATTTTGATTTGGGTGGATTTATTTTCGTATGGCATTTTTCGTATTTTTTTGTGCGACGATAGGCCATTTTATTTGGACTTTGAAGGCTACACATCACGGATTAGGCATGAAGGTATTCTTCAACGATGATTAAGTCCATTAAGCACAGATTTGTACGGATTTATTTCGGGTCAATTTTTGGTAGATTCCAAAGGGGTACTACCGTCACAGATTTTGCGCGATTTTTCTGAAATGCCATTTTCATTCGATTCTAGAGGCTACAGATCATGGATTCACGCCGAGGCTATTCTCCATCGATAATGAAGTCTACTGATCCTATTCTCCAAGCATGATAAGTCCATTAAGAACCGATTTGGGCCAATTTATTTCCGGATGGCATTTTCGTAATTTTTTGGCCGACGAAACGCCATTTCTTTGGATATTGAAGGCTACAGATCACAGATTCTGCCTGAGGCTATTCTCCAACGATGATTGAGTCCATTAAGCACCGATTTTGGTGGATTTATTCTGGGTCAATTTTTGGCAGATTCCAAAGGGGTATCATCACAGATTTCGGGCGATTTATCCGAAATGCCATTTTCTTCAATTCTGGAGGCTACAGATCATGGAATCAGGCCGAGGCTATTCTCCACCAATAATGAAGTCTATTGATCCTATTCTCCACGGATGATAAGTCCATTAAACATCGATTTGGGCCAAATTATTTTCGGATGGCATTTTCGTTATTTTTTGGGAGACGAAAGGCCATTTTCTTTAGATATTTAATGCTACAGATCACGGATTCGGCCTGAGGCTATTCTCCAACGATGATTGAGTTCATTAAGCACCGATTTGGGCGAATTTATTACGAGTCAATTTTTGGCAGATTCCAAAGGGGTACCATCATTGATTTCCGGCTATTTATCTGAAATGCCATTTTCTTTTGATTCTGGAGGCTACAGTTCACAGAATCAGGCCGAGGCTATTCTCCACCGATAATGAAGTCTATTGATCCTATTCTCCACATATGATAAGTCCATTAAGTACCGATTTGGGCCAATTTATTTTCGGATGGCATTTTCGTAATTTTTTGGGCGACGAAAGGCCATTTTCTTTGGATATTGAAGGCTACAGATCACGGATTCTGCCTGAGGCTATTCTCCAAAAATGATTGAGTCCATTAAGCACCGATTTGGGCGAATTTATTACGGGTCAATTTTTGGCAGATTCCAAAGGGGTACCATCACAGATTTCCGACGATTTATCTGAAATGCCATTTTCTTTTGATTCTGGAGGCTACAGATCACGGAATCAGTCCGAGGCTATTCTCCACCGATAATGAAGTCTATTGATCCTATTTTCCACTGATGATAAGTCCATTAAGCATCGATTTGGGCTAACTTATTCTCGGATGGCATTATCATAAATTTTTGGGCGACGAAAGGCCATTTTCTTTGGATATTGAAGGCTACAGATCACGGATTCTGCCTGAGGCTATTCTCCAACGATGATTGAGTCCATTAAGCACCGATTTAGGCGAATTTATTACGGGTCAATTTTTGGCAGATTCCAAAGGGGTACCATCACAGATTTCTGGCGATTTATATGAAATACCATTTTCTTCGATTCTGGAGGCTACAGATCACAGAATCAGGCTGAGGCTATTCTCCACTGATAATGAAGTCTATTGATCCTATTCTCCACAGATGATTAAGTCCATTAAGTACCGATTTGGGCAAATTTATTTTCGGATGGCAATTTCGTAATTTTTTGGGTGACGAAAGGCCATTTTTGTTGGATATTGAAGGCTACAGATTATGGATTCGGCCTGAGGCTATTTTCCAACGATGATTGAGTCCATTAAGCACCGATTTGGGCGAATTTATTACGGGTCAATTTTTGGCAGATTCCAAAAGGGTACCATCACAGATTTCCGGCGATTTATCTGAAATGGCATTTTCTTTTGATTTTGGAGGCTACAGATCACATAATCAGGCCGAGGCTATTTTCCACCGATAATGAAGTCTATTGATCCTATTCTCCACATATGATAAGTCCATTAAGTACCGATTTGGGCCAATTTATTTTCGGATGGAATTTTCGTAATTTTTTGGGCGACGAAAGGCCATTTTCTTTGGATATTGAAGGCTACAGATCACGGATTCTGCCTGAGGCTATTCTCTAACGATGATTGAGTCCATTAAGCACCGATTTGGGCGAATTTATTACGGGTCAATTTTTGGCAGATTCCAAAGGGTTACCATCACAGATTTCCGGCGATTTATCTTAAATGCCATTTTCTTTTGATTCTAGAGGCTACAGATCACGGAATCAGTCCGAGGCTATTCTCCACCGATAATGAAGTCTATTGATCCTATTTTCCACTGATGATAAGTCCATTAAGCACCGATTTGGGCCAACTTATTCTCGGATGGCATTTTCATAAATTTTTGGGCTACGAAAGGCCATTTTCTTTAGATATTTAATGCTATAGATCACGGATTCGGCCTGCGGCTATTCTCCAACGATGATGGTGTCCATTAAGCACCGATTTGGGCGGATTTATTCCGGGTCAATTTTTGGCAGATTCCAAAGGGGTACCATCACAGATTTCGGGGGATTTATCCGAAATACCAATTTCTTTTGATTCTGGAGGCTAAAGATCACAGAATCAGGCCGAGGCTATTCTCCACCGATAATGAAGTCTATTGATTCTATTCTCCGCAGATAATAATTTTATTAAGTACCGATTTGGGTCAATTTATTTTCGGATGGCATTTTCGTAATTTGTTGGGTGACGAAAGACCATTTTCTTTGGATATTGAAGGCTACAGATCATGGATTCGGGCTGAGGCTATTCTCCAATGATGATTGAATCCATTAAGCACCGATTTGGGCGGATTTATTCCGGGTCAATTTTTGGCAGATTCCAAAGGGTTACCATCACAGATTTCAGGCGATTTATCCGAAATGCCATTTTCTTCAATTCTGGAGGCTACGGATCATGGAATCAGGCCGAGGCTATTCTCCACCGATAATGAAGTCTATTGATCCTATTCTCCACGGATGATAAGTCCATTAAACACCGATTTGGGCCAAATTATTTTCGGATGGCATTTTCGTTATTTTTTGGGAGACGAAAGGCCATTTTCTTTAGATATTTAATGCTACAGATCACGTATTCGGCCTGAGGCTATTCTCCAACGATGATTGAGTTCATTAAGCACCGATTTGGGCGAAATTATTACGAGTCAATTTTTGGCAGATTCCAAACGGGTACCATCATTGATTTCCGGCTATTTATCTGAAATGCCATTTTCTTTTGATTCTGGAGGCTACAGATCACAGAATCTGGCCGAGGCTATTTTCCACCGATAATGAAGTCTATTGATCCTATTCTCCACATATGATAAGTCCATTAAGTACCGATTTGGGCCAATTTATTTTCGGATGGAATTTTCGTAATTTTTTGGACGACGAAAGGCTATTTTCTTTCGATATTGAAGGCTACAGATCATGGATTCTGCCTGAGGCTATTCTCTAACGATGATTGAGTCCATTAAGCACCGAT